TGATTTATGTATTTAACTGTCATGTTTAGCAGTCATCATGTTGTATGTGTATGAAACTTTTTACCGTCGTGATTGCTGCTAATATATGAGGATTATGGAGGATTTGAGCTATCGTACAAAAGGTGAACTTTAATCTTATTTTCCAGCAAACAGTGGCAGGTGGCGTCTGTAATTGGGGGAGCCTTGCTTGAATATTAAAGCTGTGGAAGATTTTGGGGAATTATTTTAAACACTACGAATATGGTGTTATGCTACGATAACACGCTAGCATGTCATGCTACGATGTCACACTACATTGTTGCTCTACAAAGGGGCCACCAAAACCTTTTAAAAGTGAGAGCTACTTCTTGGCCACTGATTAATGCGAAGAACTACTAGTTTGGTACACACTTCTGCAAGAATACATTTTCTGAAATTACCTGAAAAAACCTTATCACACGACGTCACACAACAATGTTATGGTATATTGTCACACTACGTTTTCACACTACATCATGTTATAATGTCATACTTTTTTACGACTTGGAGTTTTTGAAGAAACTCATGGTTTTCAAGGACAGCACTGGTCCGTCTTAGTGAGTCCATACGTGGGCTCTTCGTGTTGCTCTTCAACCACGCGAATGTCCTTGACCAGTAAGGATTTGGCCCTCCATCCAGGGGTACTCAAGCTAGCCCCTGGCTGTTTGGCATGCATGGTGGCATCGTGGACAGAGAGCGTGTCATCACACTGGCGTCGACCTGAGCCAGCTCTGCTCAAGGTCGCTCGTCCATGCATTTTTTACAACAACAACAACAAAAAAACAAAAAAATGGCATCATCCTTCTCTCAGTTGTCAGCATGCCGGCAGTCGTCCATCTCTGTCAGCTCAGCTCACCTTCAGTCCTGGTCACCTGCTTCATCAAAGGCCGTGCACGACAGCTTTAATTGTTTCAGCTTGTTAAATGGTGTTCCCTCCCTAGTATCGGGGTAGGCCCTAGCCCTGAAATGGCGATAATTTGCACGTATTGGATGATCCCTGCCGAAACACATTCACAGCTGCCTATGATAATAGTTAAAATTCTTACGCCGGGTCACACCAGGTTGCTACATTATGATGTCATGCTACAATATCACCCTACAATGTCACACTGCGAGGTTTTATTTGAGTGTTCTGTTACACTGGTAGCTACAATGTTCCGCTACATTGTTCTGCCACATCGCTACTGTTAATGCTATGATAGGAAGCTAAGATGCCACGCTACAATTCCATGCAATGAGAATGGCTCAGTACGATGTATATGCTACATTGTTATGCTACAATAGTATTTTGCTAATTTCTTTTAGCCTGTATGTTAGTTACACATTGTATGCTAGCATTAGAAGCTAGCAAACTTATCATTCTCCTCTTTGAGAACTATGTGTGTGAGACAGTGAAAACAGGCGCAAAGGAATACTTTAACAGCAAAGAGTGTGTTTTAATAAGTTTAAATGTATTTAAAGTGTCTTAGAGGTGTAAAAAGGATCCCAATGTGTTTTTCTATGGTCTCTTAATACTGCAAATTTTAACCTAAAATGAGTGGCTCTGAAACATATCCCTGGCAATAGATTCACTGTTATAAAATTTGGAAAGTGTAAAAGTATACTCATTGAATTTGATAGGTGGTGTGCTGTGATTGGCCACTTTGCATTTCTGGAGTGTGGCTTCGTGAAAAGTTACTTGTTTTTGCGAAGCACTTACTAAGCATTGTTAAAACATGGGCTGAGAATGTTTGACTGCGCATCAGCAGCAAGAAGTCTGGCAGAAAAATCATTTTGGTTTTTAAGGACAAGAGTACATCCTTTTCAACGCTCCATCATCCTAACCGTTGTTGGCGTCGACATGTAAGCGAGGCCCTCACATCACCGGCTGCTCGCCAACAAGATTGCTGAACCGTGTGGAAGTTACTTTCAAATTTAACGGCCTCCACTTTCCTCCCGCATTCATCGCGACGCGTCGTCCATCTATCTCGGCCCGAGGCGGCGATAGTTCCCGCGAACCGTGAGAGGCCGCCGTATTTCAGCGCGTGGAGAATTCCCCGTGAAGGGTAAGGGATTACGGATTGTGGCCCTCTAAGCCGCCTGGGTGCCCAGCGAGGATGTCTCTGAGCGGCGTAATCTTCAAACGCAGCACAGAGTGATGAGTCGGCACCCAAGAGTTGCGCGGGATCTAAATGTGTTCCGCCGGGTTTACTGGCGATAGAAGGGAAAAAGGAGAGTGGATGGTGAGGGACGACATCTTGGTGGGCCAACGGATCGACTAAGCAACCTTATGGGCAAGACAACTGCTTCTGATCCTGTGATCTGTTTGCCAGGGATCGCATTGACATAAATGTCAGGCTTCCACGTGGTGGTGGAAGACAATCAACGGGGGGTTTGGGTCAGATAATGACAGTGGTTGGAAGTGACCAGGTACATTTTTTTTCGGAAATCTGTACTTGCGTGATTATTTTTCATGACTTTATACTTTTACGCCTTATGTTTGCCTTATGGCCAACCAGTGGGGCTCAGACAATTATCACACGGGGACCGCATCTTGTGCTAGAAAGGGTGACTGCAGTTCACGAAAAGGCTGCAGGTTGTTCTTGAAGTCGCTGTAATCTGTTCTAGTGGACCCAGCAAGTAGTGCTTATGTCCGTCGGAAACATGCCCCGTAGGAGCGGCAAATTACTTGACACACTCGGATCATAACAGAGTCATCTAGCATGACAGCATCGAAATGCGGCACCCGCAGAAGTAGGCTACACCCTACAAAAACACTTTTTTTTCTTGTTTTTTTAAACTTAAAAGCCTCCAGGTATTTGTATTTTTAGTACAAATGCCAAATTCATTTCTATCACAGTCCACAACCACAACGTGACCTGTCAACGAAATGACTTTGACACCCTGAGCATTAAGGGTCTTCAAGGTCTCCAGTAAATCAAAAAGAAGTGATGCTGGCTTTTTGGCTCTATAGCATGGATATAGGTGAAAGCCCTACAAGAAGAAGACTTTATTGATCCCACAGTGGGGAAATTCACTGAAAAAAAGCCCCAAAAAGAAGAACACAATGTCAGAACAAAACAGCAGTGACACACATACATCGGCTCCATATCGTTAACACAATTAAGCGACAGACAAAAAGTTTGCTGAGAGCCCTGATTATCTCCCCGTCTCATATAAGCCCAACGTCTGCCGATAGCATCGAGAGCGACCTCAAAACGGGGGTGAAGGACATCGGCCTTGGCGGAGATTCTTGAAGATTAAGTCCATCAAAAATGAGGCGAGGGGTTCAGGGTTCTTGTTTAAGACCGAGATGCAAAGTGGTTCGCTAATTTACGACACGCTAACGGAGGAGGGCAACCCAGAGGGGGCTTGCGGATCAAGGGGCTTCATGCACTTGCTCACATAATCAATTTGGAAAGCACACACACACACACACACACACACACACACACACACACACACACACACACACACACACACACACACACACGTATAATGCGGTGATGTGGTGTGCTGAGGTGTAAAATTGTGTGAACGCTCCAAACAGGTACATACATTTACGGTGTGACAAAAAAGTGCCCTCAGGTGACAACAAAACCTACATGCTATTAGATCAGCTGCACTATGGCGGGATAGAAGAAAGCTCCCGGCCGCCAAAAGGGAGGGTAAAGGGAGTTCCAGTGAGGGCAGATGGGGTGGAGGGCGATGACAAGCAATTGAGGGAGGAGCACTTGCTTTGTGTTCTAGCCCCACCCTTTGGAGCCGTGAGGAACTGCACCTTGGAGGATGACTGGCCAGATGTATTTCAAAGTGCGAAAATATACGCATAAATTGATGTCTTGAAATATGCGTGACCCCCACTCGCTAGTTGTGCAGGCCATCACAAGGCTGTTTGTTTGCTTTGACTTGTGAGCCCAAACTCTGCTGGCAATGACACAGCTCAAGTCAGCGAACAACGAGTAGCAGTTTGGCAGATCGTGGATCAATCTTTAAAAAAAGAAACTTCAAGCTGTTTATTGCCTCTCCCAGTTGAAGTTTAATGGCAAACTAAATATAAAATATTACACGTTTGTGTTTTTAAAACGACCATATAGCCTCAACTACTTTCATGCTAACACATAATGGAAAACACCATAGACATGTACGGCCTAACTAATTTACCTGTATGTGGCGGTGTCATTGAAATTGAGTTGGATTGAGCATGATGTAGCTCATGTTAGAATTCATTTTTGTGTTTACAGTAATGCTTTAGTGGCGGCAGACGTTTATTATTTTTTTTAACTTTAATAATGCTGTTGCTTTTATGCAAATAAATACTTGCAACTTCAACAGACGCACCTGCACCCTTCTATTTATTTTATCTGATGACGACATTCGTCAAACCAGTTTTCCGACAAAGACACACAATTGTCTTTTGATGATGATTATTCTTACAGTTTGCGCCAGGCAAACGCTGAGTTGGAGCGGCCAATCAGAAAAGACATAGGGGATTGAGGGCGTCACCTTGGGTGACGTCGACGGAGAAAAAAGAAAGGATGCGGTGTTGATGAAGATGAGGAGGAGGCAAATGATTGTGACAATTTAAAGAAAACGTGGGGAGGTGCGTGTAATAGTGTTGTATTTTGTGTATTTTATATTCATGTATTATGTGGGAAAAAATATGTGACTAGTAGTGTAGGCCTATGGTGTAAAGGATGCGCGAGGCTTCCGCGTGCTCAATGTTCCATTCATACGACAGTCACCACTTGGTTTTAGAGCAATTTATGGCTACAGTAACTTAAAGAGACATAATAAGAACAATTTATGCTTGTGGTGTGTTGTCATCTTCATGCAGAGGCGCGTGCACCATCAATTTGAAGTCGTGACGAGCGCGCTGCGGCAAGTATAATTATCAATGTGTATTGATCCGTCACCAATTTAATTTAATATAATAATACTCCTTATGGAGAATAAGGAGTATTAATACCGAAAGTAAGTAATACCGAAATTTAAACAGCTATGTTTGTAAATGTCATATTTATTTCGGTTGCATATGTAAAGCATTTTTTCGATGGTCCTCCTGGATGCCTAGGTGGCGCACGAGGAGTGACTAGTCAAACCGCAACGTGTAGCTTCTTCAGCGCTTGCTAATAAACCCTCACAAAAATAACATTGAATCTAAAATTCATTTCAATTAAACGTACATATCACGAATAGAAAACAATAACTGTCACTGAAATGTAATCAGATGTTTTAAATATTTATCGCCGCTTTGTGGCGCTTCAAAACACCTGGGGGCGATAGTGTGTCAATAAGTGATGATTGACTGCCGAAGAAGAAAGTTAATCTTACTTCCTTGCCGAGCTTCATTGCACTTTTAAATTCGAAACAACAAAATTCACTTTGGTCGGAATGTAGAGTCGAGGCAGGGTGATATTTTTATGCATTTTATTCATTGTTTCTCGTCTTAAATTAGCGTTCACATGCTGGCGAAAATCTGTTATTTTAAGTGTTGTTTAACGTTGTTTCAGTTCAGTCATCAACCGGTTAGCTGGAGTGATAATTTGTTTTTTCGTTTTAACAAAAGTTTTTGCATAATCTAGCATTGCGCGTCGATTTTGGATTCGAGTGGTTTCATGAGGGTTTACGACGAAATGCCACTGGACCACTGATGTGACCGGTGGGAGGACTGCAGTTCCAAGCAGGTGCAGTATTGTACAGGAGGGTGCGAAAAAATGAATATTGAGGGGAAGTCCGTGAATTTCAATCATTTGTTTCAATAGGTGAAACCTGTATATTGTATTTGTTCGCCACACACCAGCCTCTATTGTTTCAGTTTTGATGATTATGGCAGAAAGACACACATGCAAAAATACAATTTCACCACCTTGCTGTAAAATTTCCTTGTAGACAGCTGCGTTGACTGTGGATTGGGGCTCCTATTGCATTAATTACAGCATCAAGGTGGGATGTATGGAGATGATCAGTGTTTAACGCAGTTTAGTTGTTATTGTAACTCAGATTGTTTGATTTTGGCCTTATCATCATCTGGATTTCACCTTCCACTTGACAATACACCATCAATTTTCAGTTGGACTCAAATCAAGTGAGTTAGCTGGCCAATCAAGTCCTGTTTTATTTTGCGATTAATTCGGCTATTGTCAGGTTAGACTTTGTGGGGAGATGCCAAATCCTTATGGGAAATAAAATCACTGTCTCCAAAAAGCTTGTCGATAGTGTCGATAGTTTTACGAAGTGCTCTAAAATTTCCTTGTAGACAGCTGCGTTGACTGTGGACAAGATAAAATGCAGTGGACCCACACAAGCAAATGACATTGCTCCCCAAATCATTACTAACTCTGGAAACTTAACACTGGACTTAAAGTATCTTCACTTTTGTTCTTCTCCAGTTTTTCCTTTGTTAGCGATTGATGATAGGGTTGATGTTTAAAAGTAGGGTTTGAAGCCAGAGTCCAGGTTTCAACCCTGGGTTAATAATTTTAGATTTGTAGTCTTATTATGTGAAAGAATGACAAACCGATTCTATCTCCCCACAGGTTATCCTAAAAAAAAACAAAATGGAGGGCGTGAGTTTGTGAGTACATCTAACTGTCAGCCTAGCATGTAACATGGCCCTGTTAACTCATTCCTGACGTCATATGTGCGTTTTCTCCGAATAGTGACCCCATGGAACATGCACTCCTGGGCGAGGACTCTCGTTCGGTGGTGAGCCGCTTCCAGCAGCGCTACTGGAAAACCAAGCAGACGCTCATCAGGGTGAGCGGCAAGAAGGAGGATCAGCACGTGGTGGCCTCAGACGCCGACCTGGACGCCAAACTGGAGGTCGGCTGTTCCCGTGCTGGAGGACTCTGGCTTGCTTCCACTTTTCCAAAACATACATGTTAGCTTTATTTATGATTTAAAGTTTGCACTTGGTTGACGTAACAGTTGAGGGGAGTGAAGCGTAAAAATAATGCACCTCTTTAAATAAGCGTTATGGTTTCAAATTAGGCTCTTAAGCAAGGTTTCAAATTTGAGTTTGAAATTATGGAATCCAGTCTGAGTCAGGATTTCATAGTATGTTTTCTAACCAGGAATAGGGTTTCAAATTAAGGTTTGAAGGCCTTATTTTTATTTTTTATTTTTTTAAGGAAAGGTTTCAAATTACGATTTCAAAACTGGCTTATATTTGCAATTATTAGCGTTTCAAGCCTCTATTAGGGTTTTAAGCTGCGGTTAAGGTTTCAAAATTACGTTTTTTAAAAAGGCTTGCAATTAATTGTCTTATGGGATCTGAACGCTGACTTGTTTTCATCTTTGTGATTGTTTTGCTTGTCAGGTTTTTCACTCCATCCAGAGGACATGCATGGAGCTGCTGAAGGTGATCGAGCAGTATCAGAGGAGGATCTGCTGTACGTATCACCACATCATCACCGGGATAGCCGAAGGCGGATAAGGATTTAAAAAAAAAAAAAAAAAGTTATACATTGGACTATATCGTCTTTAAAAAGTGGTGTCTTGACATACAAGTTTAATTGGTCCCGTAAAACACAAATTAGTCATACAAATCATCATTCTTCATTGAAATGAATTTAAATACCATTAATCCGTACTCCCCCCAAAATCGTTCACAATGTGCCAAACTGCTGCTTTTTGAGTTGTGTATCTCAAGTCTTTTCTCTTAAGTCAAAGTAAAAAGTCACTCGTATCTCAAGGCACCACTGTGTAGTGATTAGGATGCAGGGACATGAATGAATGGTTCTTTGGAATCATTCAGTTCTGTCCCTTCTTCCTTAACACTAGAGAAAGATTTTCAGAGGTCCGCTCGATGGAAAAATCCCCATATAGTGAGCAGTGAGTGATTCCTCACACAGCCCCTCAACATTCCCCCACAGTTCTTTCCCAAGAGGAGAATGAGCTGGGTCGCTTCCTGCGCTCTCAGGGCTCTCAGGACAAAAGCCGGGCGGGAAAGATTATGCAGGCCACGGGCAAAGCGCTCTGTTTCTCCTCCCAGCAAAGGTCGGCCTGCCCGCCACCCCCGTTAATAATCGCCATCGCTATCCTAATGGTCACGGTAACGTCCCCTGCAGACCGGCGCTGAGGAAGCCCCTGTGCCGCCTGTACCAGGAGGTGGAGACGTTCCGCTTCCGGGCCATCTCGGACACGTGGCTGACGGTCAAGCGCATGGAGCAGAGTCGCACCGAGTACAGAGGAGCCCTGCTGTGGATGAAGGACGTCTCCGCCGAACTGGACCCGGACACACGCAAGCAGATGGACAAGTTTCGTAAGGTTAGGGGATGACGCCGAGGAGGAGCTTGATACTGGGCACAACATTTGGGGCTTGAAGTCAGGGTTAGAGTTTCAAGTAGGGCTTGGCTATTAACGCATTCAGTACCAGCCAATTCTAGAGCAAGTCTGAAAAGACGTTTAAAAACAGCTTTGGGAGTGAATGAGTTCATAGAAATATAATCAGGAGTTCGATTTGGGCTTTTCCCGATCATAAAAACGATATCAGTTTTCCTCAGCGTGCTTTAAGATGTGTGAAATTAGGGCCTCAAACAAGTATTAGGGTCTCAAAATAGGGTTTCAAGTTTGGATTTCATGCCTAGGTGAGGTTTGAAATCAAACAAGGGTTCAATTTTTTTAAAGTCAGGTTTCAAACCATGGTTAGGGTTTCAAATTAAGGTTTCAAGTCTGGTTAATGGTCTGAAACAAGTGTAAGGGTTTCAGCCAAGTGATGTAGTAGGGTTTCAAATCAGAGTTATTGTTTGAAATTATGGTTTCAATCTTGGGTTAGGTTTTCAACTGTGGTTAGGGCATCAAATTAGTGTTTGAAGTCAGGGTTTGTGTCTTAAATTATACTCTTAAGACCCAAAAATGTCAACGCAATGTTTCAAGCCAGGGTTATTGTTTCTGATTAGGGTTTCAAGTTGAATGGGATTTGAGGAAAATGTCCACTAGAGGGCAGCCTTTCCCAACAGGAGACTTGTGACGCCAGCTACAGAAGGCATTTCATGTGTCATCACCTTGAGTGCTCGTGTGCGTGTCAGGTTCAGGCAGAGGTCCGCTGCACCAAGCGCAGCTTTGACCAGCTGAAGATGGACGTGTGCCAGAAGGTGGACCTGCTGGGAGCCAGTCGCTGCAACCTGCTGTCCCACGTGCTGGCCACCTACCAGGTAAGACTTGGCCGCGGCCTCCCAGTGGGAGGCCTCCACGCTTTCTCATGTGCCCCCCACCCCCCCCAGACCACTCTACTGCATTTCTGGGAGAAGACGTCTCACACCATGGCTGCCATTCACGAGAACTTCAAGGGCTGCCTGCGCCACGAGGTCTGGCCCGCGTTGCGCCAATCGCACCATTTCGCATTTCACATCCAAATTTCAAACGCGACCTTCCTCGTGACGAATGATGGCAGGGGCCATCAAGGGAGAAGAAGAAGAGGAGGAGGAAGAAAAGTCAAGCAGAGAAAAAAGATGACGACAAGGCCACACCGGATGAGTACGTTCCGATAAAATAAGAACATGACTCGATTTCTTTGAAATGTTTTCATTCAAACTTTTGGTGTGTGTTTGTTTTGTAGACTGGTATCGCTGGCGAATGGCATCAGTAGCGGTACAACAAGAGAAGGTAAAAATGTACTCAATTGTAGAAAAATGGAAAATGTGAAAAAGGTTCCAATCAACTCGGTAACAGGATTGTAAACATCAGAGCGTATGTGATCGTGGCGTTCAGTCAGGTCGAGCTACTACTCCTTTCATTACTATCACAGTAAAACAGCCGTACTTTATCCTAATGTACTGTTATGTCATCACACATGTTTGGCCACGGTTATTTGCTGGCAAAAAATGTTGTGTTTTTTGTTTTTGCCAATTTTTATAGATTTTTTTTTTTTTTAAACATTAGACCATAACACACAGATGACATTCAAATATTCATTCCCCAAAAAGACTTGACAAATCGACTGTAGCAAAGTTCAACAAACACTAAAAGGACAAAGTATTGTCTAAAATAGTCCAATGTTATGCCTGTAAGTCAGATCTTTATGTTGTAAGGATGAAGGGATCAAAAGTTTTATTCATTACATTTCTTTAAAAATTCAGCGGACAATTCGACAGTTATCGGAGTGTTATTCTGCCAAATATCGGAATCTCCATCAGCCGAAAAAAAAGAAAACATTCGGTCAGGCCCTATTTCTGAGGACTACTACTACTACGACTGTACTACTCTCTTCCTCTTTCTTCTCTTAATGACTCTGCATGTTTTCCATTAGACCTCATCCAGAATGTCGTGGCACGACTCTAAATTGGGGCTTGATTTTTGTAGTGTCCAAACCAATGAACAGACGCACCTTAAAAAAAAAACGCAAAAATAGCCATCTCCACATCATCAGGTCGAGTGTGCCGCTATTGGTACCAACCTCCTTCTTTGGATGTTAAAGGAGAACCGTGTGAATCATCGTCGTCGGAGCTTCCGGAGGAGGACAAGGACAGTTCGGCCCTGCTGGAGGAGATCCTGGCAGGCTTGTCGCTTCACGAGCCCGCCCCCTTGTGCCGACAGTGGAGTCCGGTGTTCGGCGATGCCCCGGGAGATGGGAACGCCGCAGCGGCAGACCCCCGCTCGCTATTTCTACCTTCTCAGCTTCTGGACCACAACTTGAAGACGCTGCTGGGTAAGCACAAGCGAGTCGGCAAAGAATTTGTTCACTGGAAGGGGATAAATGTCCCAATTGTTTGCCTTTTTCAGAAGATGGAGCCGGGAGCACTTTGCAGCCTGTCGCCGCGGCAACAGAGCAACCCCAAGGAGCCGTTGGACTGAAAGGTAACATGAAGACTTGGGGCCTCATTCAATGACGGGTTTGTGCCCCCCCCTCCCCCTCCATTGGTTCATGCTGTTTTTAACAGCTTTTCCACCTCAAAAAAAAATATGGTTCATGGCTTAATAGCCCAATACGGAATGTAATCTGCCATAACTGGGCTAACAAAACAAGCATCGATATTGTCGTAGCGTCGATAGTGTCGTAGTTTCTCATGAATTCACGACCTTTTTCCTTGAGAGGGAAAAAAAATCCCACTTTTCATCCCAAAAACTACTTATCGGGGGGGAAAAATCGACTCAAAATTCAACCTTTCTCTCTGACAATTCAACTTTTTGTTTTGTAATATCGCTACATTAATCTATAACAAATGAATTTGAATTTGCACTCTCCATGCCCCCTGTCCCCACCTCCCTTGCCTCCCCCACCCTCTGTAGCAGCGAGCTGTTCCGGTCCGTCCAAGGACACGTTGGCGTGGTTCAACCTGTTTGCAGACTTGGACCCCCTGGCCAACCCGGATGCGGTCGGCAATAGCCACACCGAGCAACAACTTTACAATGCTTAGTTAGCTACAGTAGCTAGCCATCCACACGAGCCTGCGAGCTTCCAACCAAGCAAACATTCAAGGGATTTCATCTGCACTTCCTGTTAATGGTGAAAAATGCAAACAGAATGTGACCAAAATGAGCTTCAGACCAGATCTTAACGCGCACATTATTTTAGCTAAGCCAAAGACGACGACGGACTCAAATATAAACTCTGGCGTGTCGGAAATAAAACATATCATGACAATACATCGTTGCCTCAGTTGATCTTCCAAGAAAAAAACTGAAAATGTTTCATCGCCCTCGTGAAAGCATTTAACTTTTCTCTTTGAAAAAAAGAATGTTCTCAAATCTATATTTCCTTTGAGAATGTGGAGCTTCCGTTGAAAGAAAAAAAACTCAGAAAAACATCCATCCACTTTCAACGGCGCTTATCTTGAATAGGGTCGCGGGGAGTTGCCGGAGCCGTTCCCAGCTGACTTTGAGCGGAAGGCAGACTACACCCTGAACTGGTTGCCAGTCACAGGCCACATATAGTGACAAACCTTAATGAGACTTGATCACACGCCGCCCGCACACAAGTCCGGCGTGTGTACCACTACACTATCAGCGACAACTTCGAAAAACAACTTTCTAAAATACAATTATATTCTAAGATAAATTTGAAAACAAAAAAAATGTGTATACATGTAATGTGTTTGACAAATGTAACTTTTCCCATTTACACCTTTGAAGTGTTGCTGGAGAGTTTTTATTTTGTAATCTGAAAAAACAAAAATCACAGGTGTGCTCGCGCACACACAAACATACACAGGTACCATCAGTCCTCATCCGATTTTGTCGCACTCTGCTTTGGTCCGTTTAACACATTTGTCATTTTAAGGGGTCAGAGCTGGCATCAGTTGGTACCCATGATGAAGCACGGCCCCTGTGGAATGCGTCAACAGGTTTAACGTGTGCCCATTGGCCAAAGGAGAAGATTCAGAGTCGCTAAAAAAAAAAAAAAAAAAAAAAAAAAAAAAACGGCAAGGAGGCAAAAACTTTTTGGTCTCTCGCATTGGAAAAAAGGTAACAATGTCCTAAAAAGACTACAAGCGAGATTACTCATGTCTCATCATGTAGAACTACAAGAGCAGCAGTGTTGTTGTCTACAAAGAAGCTTGATTGGCCATCACAAAGCTTTGTCTGAAATGTTTGTTGCCATGGAAACCAACAGTCCAAACTCAAGTTCCATGAGCAGCAAAACTTGAAGACGCTGCTGGGTAAGCACAAGCGAGTCGGCAAAGAATTTGTTCACTGGAAGGGGATAAATGTCCCAATTGTTTGCCTTTTTCAGAAGATGGAGCCGGGAGCACTTTGCAGCCTGTCGCCGCGGCAACAGAGCAACCCCAAGGAGCCGTTGGACTGAAAGGTAACATGAAGACTTGGGGCCTCATTCAATGACGGGTTTGTGCCCCCCCTCCCCCTCCATTGGTTCATGCTGTTTTTAACAGCTTTTCCACCTCAAAAAAAATATGGTTCATGGCTTAATAGCCCAATACGGAATGTAATCTGCCATAACTGGGCTAACAAAACAAGCATCGATATTGTCGTAGCGTCGATAGTGTCGTAGTTTCTCATGAATTCACGACCTTTTTCCTTGAGAGGGAAAAAAAATCCCACTTTTCATCCCAAAAACTACTTATCGGGGGGGAAAAATCGACTCAAAATTCAACCTTTCTCTCTGACAATTCAACTTTTTGTTTTGTAATATCGCTACATTAATCTATAACAAATGAATTTGAATTTGCACTCTCCATGCCCCCTGTCCCCACCTCCCTTGCCTCCCCCACCCTCTGTAGCAGCGAGCTGTTCCGGTCCGTCCAAGGACACGTTGGCGTGGTTCAACCTGTTTGCAGACTTGGACCCCCTGGCCAACCCGGATGCGGTCGGCAATAGCCACACCGAGCAACAACTTTACAATGCTTAGTTAGCTACAGTAGCTAGCCATCCACACGAGCCTGCGAGCTTCCAACCAAGCAAACATTCAAGGGATTTCATCTGCACTTCCTGTTAATGGTGAAAAATGCAAACAGAATGTGACCAAAATGAGCTTCAGACCAGATCTTAACGCGCACATTATTTTAGCTAAGCCAAAGACGACGACGGACTCAAATATAAACTCTGGCGTGTCGGAAATAAAACATATCATGACAATACATCGTTGCCTCAGTTGATCTTCCAAGAAAAAAACTGAAAATGTTTCATCGCCCTCGTGAAAGCATTTAACTTTTCTCTTTGAAAAAAAGAATGTTCTCAAATCTATATTTCCTTTGAGAATGTGGAGCTTCCGTTGAAAGAAAAAAAACTCAGAAAAACATCCATCCACTTTCAACGGCGCTTATCTTGAATAGGGTCGCGGGGAGTTGCCGGAGCCGTTCCCAGCTGACTTTGAGCGGAAGGCAGACTACACCCTGAACTGGTTGCCAGTCACAGGCCACATATAGTGACAAACCTTAATGAGACTTGATCACACGCCGCCCGCACACAAGTCCGGCGTGTGTACCACTACACTATCAGCGACAACTTCGAAAAACAACTTTCTAAAATACAATTATATTCTAAGATAAATTTGAAAACAAAAAAAATGTGTATACATGTAATGTGTTTGACAAATGTAACTTTTCCCATTTACACCTTTGAAGTGTTGCTGGAGAGTTTTTATTTTGTAATCTGAAAAAACAAAAATCACAGGTGTGCTCGCGCACACACAAACATACACAGGTACCATCAGTCCTCATCCGATTTTGTCGCACTCTGCTTTGGTCCGTTTAACACATTTGTCATTTTAAGGGGTCAGAGCTGGCATCAGTTGGTACCCATGATGAAGCACGGCCCCTGTGGAATGCGTCAACAGGTTTAACGTGTGCCCATTGGCCAAAGGAGAAGATTCAGAGTCGCTACAAAAAAAAAAAAAAAACGGCAAGGAGGCAAAAACTTTTTGGTCTCTCGCATTGGAAAAAAGGTAACAATGTCCTAAAAAGACTACAAGCGAGATTACTCATGTCTCATCATGTAGAACTACAAGAGCAGCAGTGTTGTTGTCTACAAAGAAGCTTGATTGGCCATCACAAAGCTTTGTCTGAAATGTTTGTTGCCATGGAAACCAACAGTCCAAACTCAAGTTCCATGAGCAGCAAATAAAAAAAAAACAGCAAGTAGAAGAAGCCTCACAAGGGACATGTCCACACAAACAGTTTCATACATTTTTTACACCTTTTGTCTTGATTGGCTCAGGTGCTCCTTTACAGAATAACTGTAATCTTTCCAGAAATGTCTTATGTTTTTTTTTAAAAAAAAAATATTGAAATTAGAATACCGGAAGTTTTTTTTTTTTAAACAAAAAAAAAGCTACGAGAAACACGATTTTTTTCAACATTCCGACCACTGAAGAATCAAACAATTGACAAGAAGTCTTTTTTTTTTTTTTCAAGAAAAACAGTCTTAAGCGATTGTTTTGGGGAGAACATTTGTAAATTTTGGAAATTAGAATTGTGTGCGGAAACATACAATTGTACATGGATAGTCACATTTATAAAAAAAAAAATGACAATAAACTCTTGTTTATTGTGGGGGTTAGGTTACAGACAGATGGAAGCAGTGACTTTTGAAAAATTATTCTATGTATTTCAAACCTTCACAATGCCAATGTGATACGTGAGGTGCAGATATTTTTGTCCACTTGGGGTCGCCATCCTCATGTTGTACAGTGCCGTATTTGTGACTGAATGCAAAGTTGGACTTGGCCTGGGCCTGAACAAATTGGAGCATCGAGTTGGCTGGCAGCTAACTGGCTAACCGCTAGCCTCTCTGCTTGTCGAGAAACAGCGTCAGTTGACGAACAATAACAACTGCTTGTGTTTACTTGCCGTTTTGTTCAATAACGTGATTGAAAGTGCATCGGTGTTAGCCTAAATTAAATAAGCTAATAATTACTTTACCGTAGCCGCGCAGTTAAGCTTTTAGTTCGCACTAGCTTTATTGGCGCGGGTGGGGGGAGGTGTTAAAAATATATTAGTGATTGTGTGGACATGAGCTTGATTTGGAATTAATGGAGTGCAAAGCTTTTTTTGTTGTTGTTGTTGCGTTTATAATGTGGCAGCGTCTTTTATATTCCTGACGACAAACCGCCGACGGCCGCCTCAGCTTCCTGCCTATCGGGCGAGTTGGGCGTGTCCTGAGACTGGGTGTCATTGCTGTGGAGACTGGCGGCACTGGCGCCGGCGTCGGCATCGGCGCCGGAGCAGGACATGGGCGAGAAGAGGGACGAGCAGAGCAGCTTGACCGGGCAAAAAGCTGAACCTCGAGGAATGAAGTTCACCTTGTTTTTGTCGGGACAGGAGAAGAGCGGGAAGCCTTTTGATTGGCCACACCTTGGAAAAACAAAAAGCGTTGATTAAAATCCATCCGGCAGTTTTTGTTTCTTTTTTTGGTTGCTAACACGTTACATGAAAAAGAATTTACACTGGAAATTGTAGCACATAAGCAAATCTTTATTCAAGACTGTTTTGGAGTGTTTTTACATTGATTGATTTTTTTTTTAGTTGTCAACAATAATCAAATAAACATTTTTTTAATGAAGAAGAGATATGATCCAGTCTATGTTGAGAAAAGCACTGAATAAATTGGATTTATTATTATGGACAAGATTAAGATGAATTTCTCTAGGACAGTGTCAAACAAATCGGGCAGAATTTTTTTTGCTCGTGCTACCTCGCAATGCATTGAAGTGAATTCAAGATAGAGAGCACGGAAGTGTACTCTGATACAAGCTAATTAATGTCAACTTACAGCATCTCATCAAAGACTTTGACCCTCTCGCAGCCTTCCGGTGGCTCTCGTTTGAACATGTAGCTGTTGTTGGGTTTGGGAGATGTGGCAAACTTGGGAAGGGGCGAGCCGCATGCGCCTTCTACAAACAAACAAATACGATTAAAACTAGAAAAAACAAAACAATACGCTAGAGTAGAGCAGAGGAGTTAAACCTTTGTCCACGTGACGGCCCTCCTGCGTCTGTGGCCTGTTGTACAGGCGAGAGACAGCACTTGGGTAAAATGGGGGTTTAAAAAAAAAAAAAGTCATAATTTTACAAGAATGAAGAAAAATTAAATAGTATTAAGATTTTTTTTCATGATTTTCAAGAAAAACAAAGAATTTAACTTAAGACATCAAAAATTATCAGATTAAAGTTGTTTTTTTTTAAATCATAAAATCTCTATAAAATTGTTGGCAAATTACAAGTACAGTCAAACCTCGGTTTTCGAAAGTCTCGGTTCTCGTCCAATTCGGTTTTCGACCAAAAATTTCGAGTTTTTTATGCCTCAGATGACGAACAACTTTCGGTTCTCGAACAAACTGAGCGCACTTGAATGCACCATTTGACTCCTCTCGCCTTCCTTACACGAGGACGTGACGCTTCCTCGTGTTGCTTTCCATTGTGAGTAGACGTGTTCGGTAAACATTTTTATTTTAAAAAGAGCATGGTTTCGGTTTTCGAAGAATTTCGGCTTTCGAACAGCCTTCTGGAACGGATTATGGACGAAAACCGAGGTTTGACTGTACTCTTTTTTTTTAAATCTATATATTCAGATTTTTTCAGGGAACCCTCCCCCAGAATAAAAGCAATATTTTTCCAGAGAATCATTTTTCTTAAAAAGAAAAAAAAAAAATTGTTTTAAGATAGTCATGTTTGCCAAGAAAAAGGTTGCAATCTAAGGAGAATAAAGATCAATCCTACAAGAATAAAGTCATTTTTTTCAAGAAGGAAATATAATCTTACAAGACTAAAGTCATATTTTTGAGTAACAGTTATGTCTATTTTTGGGGGAAAGTCAGATTATTCACAATATAGTCAGAATCTCTGGATG